TGTATGTTTAAGTTTTTAAAGAATACCTATTTTCCATAGTGGTTTGATCATTTTACATCTCTATCAGCAGTGTAGGAGAGCTGCATTTTCTTCACATTGCGGCCAACATTTGCTATGCTCAGTATTTTTAATTCTACATAGTTTAATAGGTGTGTAGTTGTATCTCACTGTAGCATCCCTCATGATTAATCATGTCAAACATCTTTTCTTATGCTTATTTTCCATCTGTATATCTTTGAATCTTTTATCTATATTTTTCTCAAGTTTTAAGAGCTCTTTATATATTCTGGAAATTAGTCCTTTATTCTATATGTAAGTTGCTAAGTATTTTCTCCCATTCTGTGACTCATCTTTTCATTCTCTCAGGAGTGTCTTTTGCAGGGCAGAAATTTTTAATTTTGATGGTGTCTAATTTATCTATTTTATTCTTTTATGGATTATGCTTTTGGTGTTGTATCTAAGAAATCTTGCCTAACTCAAGGTCATAAGATTTTTCACCTGTTTTTTTTTTTTTTTTTTGCGGTACGCCGGCCTCTCACTGTTGTGGCCTTACCCGCCGCGGAGCACAGGCTCCGGATGCGCAGGCTCAGTGGCCATGGCTCACGGGCCCAGCCGCTCTGCGGCATGTGGGATCTCCCCGGACTGGGGCACGAACCCGTGTCCCCTGTATCGGCAGGCCGACTCTCAACCACTGCGCCACCAGGGAAGCCCTCATCTGTTTTGTTCTAGAAGTTTTATAGTTTTATGTTTTACATTTAGATCTTTGAACCAATTTGAGTTCATTTCTGTATATGGTTTGGATGGAAGTTCTTTTTTTTTTTTCTTTTTCACCTGGATATTCAATTTTTCCAGCATCATTTGTTGAAAAGACTATCGTTTCTCCACTTAAATACTTTTGAACCTGAAAGTCGGTTCTCCACATCTCTCTTCTTTCTATTCTGTTCCTTTGATCTTTTTGTCTATCTTTACACTACTATCACAATGTCTTAAAGGTGTAGCTTCATAAGCCTTGAAATCATTTATTATAAGTTCTTCAACTTTGTTCTTTTTCAAAGTTGTTTTAGTTATTCTAAATTTTATTTCCATATGAATTTTAGAATTAGCTTGTCAATTTCTATAGAAAAGCCTACTGGGATTTTGATCTATAAATTGATTTCGGGAGAATTGATGTCTCAACAATATTGAATCTTCTGATCCATGAATACTTTATATCTCTCCATTTATTTAGGTTTTCCTTAATTTCCCCCAGCAACATTTTACAGTTTTCAGTGTGCAAGTCTTTTACATCTTTCGTCAGATTTATTCTAAATATTTTATATGTTTGATTCTATTATACATAGTATTTTAAAACTTTGATCTCTGATTGTTTGTTGATATAAATTAATCTTTTTGTATGTTGATCGTGTACCCTGCAAACTTGATAAACTCATTTGTTAGTTCCAGTAGTATTTTTGTAGATTCTATCAGGTTTTCTACATAATCATGTTATCTGCAAATAAAGATAGATTTACTTCTTCCTTTCCATTCTGAATATCTCTTTTCTTTTTGTTGCCCTATTGCACTGGCTAGAACCTTCAGTGCAACGTCAAATAGAAGTAACGAGAGCAGACATCCTTGCCTTTGTCCTGATCCTGGAGAGAAAGTACTTTGTCCTTCACCATTAAATATGTTAGGTATTTTGTAGAAGTCATTTATCAAGTTGAGGAAGTCTCCTTCCTTTCCTAGTCTAATGAGGGCTGTTCTTTTCTTTAATCTGGAATGGATGTTAGATTCTTTCATTCTTTTCCTGCATCTATTGCAATGACTATGTGATTTTTCCCTTCTTTTCTTTTCTTAATTTGTTTCCTTATTTTTGGCTGCATTGGGTCTTCTTTGCTGCACGCAGGCTTTCTCTAGTTGTGGCGAGCAGGGACTACTCTTTGTTGCAGTATGCAGGCTTCTCATTGCGGTGGCTTCTCTTGTTGCAGAGCACGGGCTCTAGGTGCACGGGCTTCACTAGTTGTGGCACATGGGCTCAGTAGTTGTGGGTCACGGGCTCTAGAGCGCAGGCTCAGTAGCTGTCGTGCACAGGCTTAGTTGCTCCATGGCATGTGGGATCTTCCCAGATCAGGGTTCAAACCCATGTCCCCTGCACCGGCAGGTGGATTCTTAACCACTGCCCCACCAGCGATGTCCTGATTTTTCTTTTTTAGTGTACTAAGTTGGGTAAGTTGATTTTCAAATATTAAAGCAACCTTTCATTCTTGAGATAAACCCCACTTGGTCATGATGTATCATCTTTTTATATATTATTGGATTTGATATGCTAAAATTTTGTTAAGAATTTTTGCCTCTGAGTTCATGAGAGATATTGGTCTATAGTTTTCTTGTAATGTCATTGTCTAATCTTGGTATAGTGAAAGTTGGCCTTATAAATAAGTTGGGAAGTATTCCCTTGTCTTCAACTTTCTGGTAGAGTTTGTGTAGAATTGGCATTATTTTATTCCTTAAATGTTCAGTAGAATTTATCAGTTAAGCCACCTGGACTTGAAGCTTTCTTTGTTGGAAGGTTTTAAACTGCATATCCAATTTCTTTAATATCTTTATTCTTGAATAAACTTTACTAGTGTATGTCTTTCAAGGAATTTGTCCATTTCATATTGAATTTATTGGTATAAAGTATTCTATAATATTCTCTTATTATCCTTTTAATATCTATAGTACTTTTCTATTTTGCAGTTTATTTATTTCTACTTTGACCTTTATTGTGTTCTTCTCTTACTCTGTGATTAATTTGCTCTTGTTTTTCCAGTTTAAGGTGGAAGTTGAGGAAGCTGAGTACAGCATTAGCATATCCCACATGTTGACATAATATGTTTTCAGTTTCAGTGAGTTCCAAATAGTTTTTGATTTCCCTTTTGATTTCTTCTTTGACCACAAAGTTACTCAGAAGTGTGTTGTTTAGTTTCCAAATATTTGGAGCTTTTTCAGCATTTTTAATTTCTAATTTAATTCCATTCTGGTCAGAGACATATATTGATTGACTAAAATCCTTTAAAAATTTTTTTAAAGTATTTTTTTAAGTTATTTTTTTGCTGCGTTGGGTCTTTTTTGCTTTGCCTGGGCTTTCTGTAGTTGCGGCGAGCAGGGGCTACCCTTCGTTGTGGTGCACCGGCTTCTCATTGGATGGCTTCTCTTGTTGCAGAGCACAGTCTCTAGGTGCGTGGGCTTCAGTAGTTGTGGCACACAGGCTCTAGAGTGCAGGCTCAGTAGTTGTGGCGTACGGGCTTAGTTGTTCTGCGGCATGTGGGATCTTCCCTGACCAGGGATTGAACCCGTGTCCCCTGCACTGGCAGGCAGATTCTTAATCACTGCACCACCAGGGAAGTCCCAATTCCAGTATTCTTAATCTTTTGTGTAGATCCATATTCCAATCTGGTGTCATTTTACTTCTGCTTAAAAATACTTCTTTTAACATTTCTTATAGTGAAAGTCTACTAGTAATGAATTCTTTCGGCTTTTGTATGTCTGAGATAGTCTTTATTTTGCTTTTGTTTTGACAGATGTGGGTATAGAATTCTAGCTTGATACAATTCAATTCACTACTTTAAAGACGTTATTCCACTGAGTTCTCGTTTACATTGTTTCCAACAAGAATTCTGCTGTCATTGTTATCTTTGTTCCTCTGTATGTAGTGTATAGGTTTTTCCTCTGGCTGCTTTTAAATTTTTCTCTTTATTGCTGGTTTTGAGCAATTTGATTATTTTTTGTGCCTTGGTGTCGTTTTGTCCATGTTTCTTATGCTTAAAGTTCATTGATCTTCTTGACTTTGTGTGTTTATAGTGTTTACCAATGTAGAAAAATTTTGGGTATTATTTCTTCAAATTTTTGTATTTCTCCACTGCTTCATGGACTCTGAGTACACATGTATTAGACCACTTGACGTTGTGGCACAATTTGCTGATGCTCTATTCATTTTTGTTGTTGTTTTGTTTTGTTACACGTTTTGTTTCATTTTGGATAGTTTCTATTACTATGCCTTAATGTTCACTGACCCTTTCTTCTGCAGTGTCTAATCTGCCATTAACCTCATTCAATGTCTTTTTCATTTAGACATTGTTTTTAATCTCTAGAAGCTCAATTTGGGTCTGTTTTACATTTTCCATGCCTCTACTTAACATTTTCAGTGTTTAGTCTGGGTTTCTTAACAACTGAAATACAGTTCTAATAACTTTTCTTCATGTATAATAACTTTTTTTGTGTGTGTGTGGTACGCGGGCTGCTCACTGTTTTGGTCTTTCTTGTGGCGGACCACAGACTCCGGATGCGCAGGCTCAGGAGAGCCCCATGTATAACACCTTTTTAAATGTTCTTTTCTACCAATTCTAACATCTGCATAGACTATGGGTTAGTTTTGATTGGTTGCCTTTTCTCCTCAGTATGGGTCATATTTTCCTACTTCTTTGCATGCTTGGCCATTTTTCATATGATAACAGATGTTGTGAGTTTAGTTTATTGTGTGCTATATATATTTATATTCTGTAAAATGCTTGGGCTTTGTTTTGTGTGAAATTAAGTTACTCAAAACAGTTTTATTCTTTTACGTCTAGCTGTTAAGATTCGTTGGGTAGGAGTCCAAGTAGCCTTTACTCTGGAGCTCATTATTTGCAACTACTGAGACAAGTCCTTTCTGAGTATCATGAGGTTTTCCAGTCTGACTTGTAGGAAGAGGTACTATTCCTACAACCCTGTGTGATATCCAGTTATTCTTATTATTAATCCTTTCTTGTGGTTCTTTTCCTGGCATCAAGTAATTCCTCACACAAATGTACTGACCAATACTGTGTTGAATTCTCAAGAGATCCCTCTGCATATCCCCAGAGTTCTTTGTCTGTGCACTTCTTTTCTCTCTGATACTCTGCTTTGTGAACTCTAGTTACCTTGGTTTTCCCAGACTCTCAGCTCCATTTCCTCAGTCAGGGCGTACACCAGGCTCGGCCTGGACTTCTCTTCCCCGTACCATGACCTGGAAACTCTCTCAGAGAAGTAAGTTAGGGCTATTACAGGTATCACTTCATTCATTTTCCATCTCCTGGGGATCACTGAACTGTATTGCCTGAGGTCCAGTTTCTTGAAAACTGTTGTTTCATATGTTCTGCCTGATGCTTTCATTGTTTCACATGGGAGGTTAAATTGGTCCTTGTTACTTCATCTTGGACAGTAGCCAATAACATTCTTTAAGTCTGTTTTATTTTGATACAGGGTCCAATTAAAGATTAGTCATTGCATGTCATATCTTTGTTTCCTTTAATCTAGAATATTTCCCTACTATTATTTTTTTTGGTCTTTTATGACATTGGCATTTTTGAAGAGTCTAAGCCAGTTGTCTTGTAAATTGCCCCACAATCTGGATTTGTCTGCTTCCTCATTTGATTCAAAGTAAACGTTTTGGGGAAGAATACTATATAGGGGATGTATTCTTCATACTTCATCACTTCAGGTGGCCCAGTGCTAAGTCTGATCACTTGATTAAGGTGGTATCTTCCATATCTCTCCATTGTGAAGTTATTTTTCCCCTTGGTAATTGATAAATAATATGAGGTGCCATACTTTGGGATCAGTGGAGATCCTACTTTCAAACAACTCTTCACCCAACTGTGCATCAATGATAATCCTTGTCTGAATTGATTATTACATTGATAGTTGCAAAATGACACTTTCCTAATCTATCATTCCTTTTGCATTTATTAGCTGACATGATTCTATAAAGAAGAGCTCCCCCACTTTTCATTTGAAGTATCATTATGAGCTCATGTGCTTTTTTTAAAATTAACTATGTTATAACTTATTATAATGATCATGTTATTCTTTGGAATGTTCCTTTTGTCTAGATTTGGCCAATGTGATCTCTGTTATTGTTTAACCAAATGATGCTTTTTTATTACGAGAATAATTTCTAATATATTACTACTGACAAATAGGACCTGAGAAAGGGACTCCAGAAGGTGCGGCCTTATCAGACTCTTCTTAGAAGTCTGCCTTCTTCCTGTGTACTCTCAACCCAAAGGCTTTTGGGTTGGAAGGAGATACTTCTGAATCAAATTACAGATCAATGTCACCCAATTCTAATCCCTATTCCCTTTTTTCTAGACATACCATACCTACTGCCATCCTAATCCTTCTGTTGGGCACCTCTCTCCTCCTCTATATTTATTTACAACAGTCAAGAGCAGCAATTGGCCAACCGACATCTATCCTTTTCTCCAGCCCATGAGCCCCAAGAACTCCTTTTTGTACTGGTCTGTGGTGGCCTTGGACTACCCCTTCTACCTACTCAAGTAACTCTTTTATCACAAATTTAATTACCAATGTTTCCATTTATAGGATCTTACCTAGCCATATGGCCTGCTGCCTCTGCCAATTTAAAGATACTATTGAGGTTGTCTGTAAGACACTCAAGCTGCGTTGTGACAGTGAATGCCTGACAGACATGACACGCTGTGGTGAGTCTCAATTGTGGGATAATAAATTTTTAATTTAATTTTTAAATTTTTAATCAAGGATGATAAATGTTAAAATTAATGATGTAATTGCATTATTTTAATTCATTCATTCAGAGTTCCAGATCCCTAAGTTTCTAAGAACCACCCCCTTGCTAAAAATCAGATTCTTGGTTACATTATTAAGCTAATAATAGCTCAGGTACCTTATTAGCTTAATAATGTAACNCTTGGTTACATTATTAAGCTAATAATAGCTCAGGTACATTGTTAGCTTAATAATGTAACTGATCCGCATACATAAAGGAACAAGAGAAAGGGATGGAAGGGGGAAGGGAATTCACATTAATGACCACATATCGTATACTGTGCTCTCTGCAAATGAGAACTTATTCATATAGCGCATCACATTTTGTAAACTGATTTTATATACATTAAGTCTCAGGTACTCTTTGTCTCATAGGAGAGGTGTAAATATATTTTTGTTTATTTTGTGTGTTTCTGCAATTTTATAAAGAGTACAAGTGATGCTGTTTTATGTCCTATTTGGAGCCTGAGATTTTCTGGTTCCATAACCAGAAGCTGCTACCTAGCCCTTCTAATGGATGGGAGAGCTAGTTTATTCTTAGACTGTCTAGCTCTGAGCTTGCTCTGAATCTCAAGCTTTTCTATCCACAAAACACTCAGGGGGTTTCAACTATTTTTCTATATATTAGATTTATTGGCACTAACTTGATGGCTTCCAAAATGTATTTTCATGCCCAGGTAGCTTGAATGCGAGTCTCTTTCAGTGATCTAGAGCACATCATACAAATAACACTTTGCACCTTATATAAAGACAATATTGCTGATTTTTCAACATGGTTTTTTTTTTTCCTGGCCGTGCCACACAGCTTGTGTGATCTTAGTTCCCAAACCAGGGATTGAACCTGGGCCACAGCAGGGAAAGTGCCGGGTCCTAACCACCAGACCACCAGGGAACTCCCCTAGACAACTGTTTTACTAATTATATTACTCCCTTCTCCCCCAGATGTGGGCAGAAAAGGCATTTTTAATCTCCTTTTACAGGTGAGAAAAAACAAGATCAGAGGTGTTAAGTGCTATGACCCTAGTGCCCCGATCTCCTGTCCCCAGTTTGGGGCTCTCTGCAAGCCCATGCTCCTCCTTTCTCATGACCCTCCCCTCCTCCTTTGACCCTCACCAAAACTACTTTTAATCCTTTTGAAAGAGAAGCCCAGCTACACAATGGTACACATTACCTTCACACAGTCAGAAGCTTTGGATGGTTCCCCAAGTAAAGCTGGAAATATTAGAAGTAAAATGAAATGAAAGCAAAGTAGCCACCTGACAGAAGTTGCTTGTTCCCTTCTGCAGTTGAAGACCTCAAGTATTATTCCATTGATTTGTTGAACATTCCACATTGGCATATAATCTGGCAAATCTCTTAATTTATACCCCAGATCCCTGCCCAAATTTTAGCAAAGAGCCAGGGTGGGCATAGTGTTTTTTCTGTATAGATCCTTGTGTTATGGGCGCTGGGATATATGGAAGCAGGGACTGAGCAAAGGACTCGGTGGGTGGGTGGAGAAGGACATGTACAGATGACGACCTGTTAGCGGCGGTTGTTGTCGTGGACATCTGTGATAGCAGCAAGAACACAAGCACACTGAGGGGGTGGAGAGAGGAAGCCTCACCCTCCTCTGCCCCTGAGGCAGGACAGGATGGGGTATATGAATGTGAGGAGTCACAGTAGATCTGCAGAGAGTCCAGCTGAGTAGGGGAATATTTGTCTTCCAGCCTTGCCTTTCCTTGAGTACTGGCCCCTGGGAGCCAGTGGAGTAATGCTGAACATAGTTACTATATTTCACGCTACAGAATTTTCTGAGTAGATAGCCACTTTTTCAAGAGATATCTTTTTCACATTTTGTTGTTGCCAGTCATAGGCTTAAGTGTGGGTTCCTTTTACTCCTCAGTGGCACTCAAACTTTGACTGATTCCTAATTTATTTGGCTGTGGACTGACAAAAAGCTGTCCCATCAGTGTTCAATGATCAAAACAGTCCCTTCTTTTTTGACAGATGAAGAAACATCTATACGGAATGCAGAAGGATCGTTGATGAAGGTGTTACAAGCCCGGAAAAAGAACAACAGCACCGAACTGACTGTTGAGTCAGAGAGGGCGTCGTCAGATAAAAGTGCTGTCAGCTTGTCAGGCTTCATGAATGAGCAGCTGGACTTTAAGAATAAAAGTGATATTATCAGTACACTAAATGACATACTGCCTTATACCTCAGAGGGAAATCTCGGAGATGTGGAAGCAACATTATTACCATTCATTCAGCTTCTGTTTTCGAATACAAAAGATGGAGATATGCCGCAGGGCCTTTTGAAAAACAGTTCAAGGAGCCCTTCTGTTACACCTGTACCCAACACTTCAACTAATAAAAACAAATTGAGGAAACTCCATTTTGCGGAAAATTTGTTAGCTGCAGAAACTCAAGAAAAAATTGATGAGGTTAGAAAGGAAGAAAAACCTGCCACGCGTACGCGTTCCAACATTTCAAGTGCCACGTTTAAACGCTACATCTTTCAAAAGAAATTGCAAACTGCCCAACCACAGAAAGACAGCCTAGCAAACACTGAGAGTACAGAGGAAAGGCTGCCGAGAGTGGACAGGGTCCTCAAGGGCCCAAGGGGCGTACAGAAAATGCACCTCAAAGCAGTGGGAGATGGGAGCGTCAGGGGGAAACAGAATGCCCAGCCATCAGAGGCGAACACTGCCGAAGAAAGAAGGCTCAGGAGGCCATCCCCAAGAAAGCTGAAACAGCTTCTCATGGTGCAGAGGCCCAGGAAGCTGGTGGGAAAGTCCTCCAATGCAGAGTCTTCATTCATAAAAGAACACAAGGCAGCAGGCTCCTCTTCCCGGAAACAGTACTTCAAGGGCAGGCCTTCTGCCTCCATCCCTCCAAAATCCCCATCTGACGTTAAAAGCAGATCAAAAGACTCATCCAACACTATTCATGTTTTAGAGGATGCGAAGGCTAGAATTAGAAATATTAAGGACTTCGAACTAATCTCACATACTGGAAAAAAATACATCTTCCATAAAATTAGGTCTCATCGGGTCCACAGAAAACCCAAAGGCAAAAGGAGTCGAAAGTTCAGAAAGAAAAGTTCACTCAATAGAATGACGCTTGTAAGCCCTCCGTTCTCTGTACTGAGGAGTCTCATAAATTCCCCTCCACGAGAGGCTCTTTCATCTTCAGGAGAAGTGACTTCTCAGGAAAAGCCTTTTCCAGAATTATTTTCTCTTTCAGACCCTTCTACAGAAAACACTACTTCAGAAAACAATACTGCACACAATGTTTCTGAAGAAATTATTTCTACAGGAAGCTCCACTCTGCCAGGAGGAACCGGCCCTGGAAACACTACCCATAGGAGCGTGTCCCCTGCACATTCTACTGTTGCTGCAGACAGCAGTATGCCGACTGTTCAACACACCAACCAAACACGATGGGAGGACCACAACACGGGCACTGAATTATCCTCTAAGGCCGCAGGCTTCGCTTTCCCAGGGCTCACATCCCCGGGTGATCAAGTTGAAACTCAGCTAAACCAGCAGCTACGGTCCCTCATCCCCAACAATGACGTGCGAAGGCTCATTTCTCATGTTATCCAGACTTTAAAAATGAACTGCTCAGAGACCCACGTGCAGCTGGCCTGTGCCAACCTCATCTCTAGAACAGGCCTCCTGATGAAGCTTCTCAGCAAGCAGCAAGAAGCAAATGTGTCCGAAGCGGAATGGTATACGGACCAGTGGAAAGCTGACAACTATATCAGTGAGAGCACAGAAGCCCAGAGTGAGCAGAAAGGGCAGGAGTCAAGTGAGGTGAGGATAACCCCTGACACATGGGAGCTGGACTTTTACTCAGTTTAGGACACGCCATTAACGTGCCCAAGCAGGAATGCCACGGGCTCCTAGTCTGTATCTTATCTTCAGCCATGAAACGGGCTAAGACAGTGATCTCCCACTTTGCTCATTTAGACAGTGTGCCACTCTTCCTAGGGTAGACGAGAAAAGGCATAACACAAGATAAATAAATTGTAGAAGAAAATGCTAATGATAAGATTAATAACATTAAATTTATAGTAGTTTAAGAATAGTTAGCTATTGTTTAGAATAGGTTTAAGAATAGTAAGTTTTCATCCCTTCTATCTCCTTGTTTTTAAAAAATTGTTATTTATTTTTTTAGCTCACAAAAGAAGTTCCACGATATGGCTATAACAACAAACTCATCTTGGCAATATCCATATCTGTAGTAGTGACGATTTGGGTTACAATTCTCTGTCTCATTGAGGTAAGGACAATAATTAATTCAGATTCAGAACCCACAAACTGAGAATTAAATCCACCTTTCCACCTACTACTACTTGATTCTTCTCTTTAGTCATGAGGACTGACATACACTTTGTTCTCTTACTGAAAAGTATATTCCTAGATTTTTTTTGTGGGTTTTTTTTTTTTTGGTTGCATTGGGGCTTCATTGTGGTGCACGGGCTTCTCATTGAGGTGGCTTCTCTTGTTGTGGAGTACGGGCTCTTGGCGCGTAGGCTCAGGAGTTGTGGCGCACGGACTTAGTTGCTCCGCAGCATGTGGGACCTTCCCAGACCAGGGATCGAACCCATGTCCCCTGCGCTGGCAGGCGGATTCTTAATCACTGTGCCACCAGGAAAGTCCCCACAGGATTTTTAAAGGAACTGCACTCCCAGGAAATCTCTATGGAATTGGATCCATGATAACAAGCCATTGGACTATTTTGACAAGTTAAGTTTATAAGAAGGCCAGAGTTGACGTGATAGTAAAATTCCTTCAACTCAAAACACTATGCTGATTTGATGTACTCACCAGTCACTCTCATTCTACTTTTGATTTCTTTCCTTGTTGGCTGAAATGATGAGAGGTATACGATCTCCAAAGTCACGGAGCTATTAGTCACCCTGGGAGCGGTAAAAGGACATTCCTAAAAGATAAAAGTGTGATATTATCAATTCCTTAGGTTTACTTAGCATCTTTCTTCTCCGGTGTATTAGGAATTGTGTAGATAGGTTCCATTAAACCACTGCAAGTAAAATCCTGCAGCAGGCTACCCTAAAGTATGTCATATTTATAGTAGCCTATTCCTGGAGGTAGCCTGTCTACCTTTTGTTCAGTTACACAGTGGTTTATTACTTTTCCCCACAGGCAGTTGCTAACATTAAAAGAGTGGTTTTAATAAGCTGACAATCTTGATTCTACCCTACGAATCCAACCTGCTTTATTTACCTTTTCTCTTTTAATGGCCTCCCTCCATTCCAGCCAAAGCAGCTCCTCACTATACACTACTAACACCATACCCATTCCTACTTTGGTCTGTGCCTTTGCCCATCTAAAATTCCTTTATTTTGCTTTGCCTGTGGAAGCCCTATGAATCTCTGAAAAGCCAACTCAAGTTCAGATATCTTTCTTCATAAAGACTTCCCTGAATACTCCAGCCCTCCTGATCCTAGTCCTGTGAGGTTTGTCACCATTTCTTAGGGGCCATAGCAAAGCAGTCCCCTCCCCTCAGAACTCAAAAAAGTGGTAAGCAGTTTTTTAAAAGGCAGCCCCCCAAGAGAGAAACACCAAGGTTAGCACATCATGGAGCTGAGCAGAGATGTGTAAGGACCAATGGCTTCCTGGCATAGCAGACTTGAATAAAACCTGACATGATATACAAACTTCTAAAGAGAAATGTGTCTGTCTGCAGAAGGGTTGGTCAGTAGTGAAAGCATAGAAAAGATGAGGAGAGACCAACATGGGCAGTGCCCATCCTCACATTGCCCGAGAGTAGAGAGGGCACCTTAGGCAGCATAACTGAAGAGTCAGGCCCCCTAGCCAGGCTGCGCCTGTTGAGGAGATGGACGGATCCAGCTACCTCAGGCCTTCCCATTAAATTCTCGATTCAGCTGATTCCTTTTCTAATTCTGTTCTCACTAAGTAGCCTTCGATTGTTTGATTGTGCTTTAGTGTGCCACGGAGGCCTGTCTCCACAGAAGGTAATTCTCTCATTGTGTAGACACGGATGCCCTGTGTGTAGAACAGATGTATTTCTCATTGTCAAGTAATAATTTGGCATTCTGAGTTTTGATCACTCCTGTGATGTTGATAAAGTGCGACGGCCACAACAGGAAGACGTGAGTTCTCTCTTGGTGAGGAAGAGTATGATTTCTGAGCCAGGAGGCTGGGGACTGGCAGGGGGTCAGCTTGCTAGTCATTGGCCATTGCCCAGACTGTACCCTCTACATCTCCAGGTGGCATATGGCCTTTTGCTTTTTTAGAATTTCTGGAAAGTCCCCTTTTTATTGTTTTTAACTTCTATGTAGTTTAACCTTGCATTTGTTTTGTTTTGTTTTGGCCTGTGGGATCTTCGTTCCCCAAGTAGGGATTGAACCTGTACCCTCGGCAGTGAAAGCGAGGAGTCCTAACCGTTATTTCCTCTCCCCACTTATATGCTAAGCTTTTTGAGGACAGGGGCCATGCAGTGTTCTTCCTATGGTAGACAATAATGGGGTTCAACGGAAGAGACATGAGGCATTATGTCAATTCCACAGTGAGGAATAATGCAGCCGAATATTTATTTGAAGTAGCATAGAGTCCAGCAATAGACCCATGTGTTCTTAAGACTTTTGAAATGTCATGTTTTAATATTCGAATCAGTGGGAAAAAATGAATTAATGGTGAAAGAATAGCTGCCTAACTCTTTGGGGGGTAAATAATAGCAGATCCCCATTTTTCATCTTAAATAAACATATTTCCATAAATGTGAAGAAAGACCACATAAAGGTATTAGAAGAAAATAAAAGCAATATTTTTATAATCTTATGGTGCGAAAGAGCCTTCAGAGCCTGATGCCACAAGCAGAGCCTTTGATATATTCCACCATCTTGTCTGTGACACCAGCTTAGCATTGATTCATGCCAAGCGTAAGATGAAGAGTTTTCCATATATTGTCTGATTTAATGCCCACAGTCCTGTAAGGATGATATTACTATCCCTCCTTCATAGATGAAGGAGACCAATGTAAGGCCCCAGTGGCCAAACCAAAAGCAGAAGCAAGTTTCACCCGACTGCAAAGCTTGTGCTCCCTACTCCACTCTTTTGTCGTGTCTCCTTAGAGACAAAAACACTGGAAAGATTCGAAACACTGAAATTCAATGAAAGCCAGTATTTCTTTACTATGAAGAGTTGTTTGTTAGTTTGTTTGTTTGTTTGGGGGTGGCGGGGTTTGACCATGCTCTGCAGCTTGCAGGATCTTAGTTCCCTGACCAGGGATTGAACCTCAGGCCACAGCAGTGAAAACGCCAAGCCCTTACCACTGGTCCACTAGGGAACTCCCAAGAGTTTCATAAGTCAACAAGAAGAAGACAAAGAGTCAAGGGGAAAAGGGGGCAAGGGCTGTGAAGAGTAGGAGGTGTGTTGACAGTCTGCCACAATATCTGCCCGTCCTCTCCTCATGGCTCATGTGGGATGGGTTTTGTTAGCGAGGCCTTTGTCACCTCATGACGTAAAAATCATCTCTAATATTTTCTTCAAGTACTTTTATAATCTGTCTAGAATTTGTTGTATTTCTTTTTTAGTGTGGTTGAGGTAGGGGATCTAACTTTTTCCCCCTACATGAAGATCTAGTTGTTTTCAAATCTTTCACTGAATGGTTTATTCTTTCTTCCCTGGTCTAATATACTATCTTCATCTGGACTCTATTCTGTGATCCAGTTATCTTGTCCTGTACCAGTACCAGTATCACACTGCTTAATTCTAGTTGCTCTATAACATATTTTATATCTGGTAGGGCAAGGTCCTACTCTTTGACCTTCTTTTTCATACATTTCATAACTATTCTTACATATATTCCCTACCAAGTGTCAGCTGGCTAGGTTTTATTTAAAAATTATTTTGGATATAAATGGATTGCATTGAATTTGTAGGTTAATTTGAGGAGAACTGACCTCTTTACAACATTCTAAGAGGATGGTATCTCATGCCATGTAAGTACTTCTTCTTAAGGTCCTTCAGAAAAGTTTTAATATTTTCATCACATAGGTCTTACAAGTTTTTGGTTAAGTTCATTCCTAGGTACTTTATGCATTTTTATGGATATAGTAAGTGGGATGTTTCTTCTGTTTTTTAGTTAGTTATTTGTGTTATATGGGAAAGCTATTGAGGCTTATATGTTGATCTCTTGATTTTGTATGGAGCCATCTTACTCATGTTACTTCCAATAAAATTTCGGTTGATTCTTTTGGTCTTTTTAGGTCCCTCATTTCATATGCAAATATGTTTGTCTCTTCCTTTCCAATACTTCGTTTTTCTTATCTTACTGATTAAGACCTCCTCCACAATGATCAATAGTAGCAGTGATCATGGGCATCCTACTCTTGTTCTTGACTTTAAAACAAAGCTTAGGGGCTTCCCTGGCGGTGCAGTGGTTGAGAGTCCGCCTGCCGATGCAGGGGACACGGGTTCGTGCCCCGGTCCGGGAAGATCCCACATGCCGCGGAGCGGCTGGGCCCGTGAGCCATGGCCGCTGAGCCTGCGCGTCCGGAGCCTGTGCTCCGCAACGGGAGAGGCCACAACAGTGAGTAGGCCCGCGTACCGCAAAAACAAACAAACAAAAAACAAAAACAAAGCTTAGGTTTCTGCTAGATACTTTTATTTTCTTTTCCTACTTCTAAGAGTTTTTATTAGGAATTATCTGTTGAACGTTATCTAAAACAGTCAATAAAATATATCGCCGGCTGCGTGCAAGACCCTAAGTTAGTTACTGTGGAAGAGTCAAAGGATTTTTAAACAGGGCAGAATTCCTTTCCTTAAAAAAGTTATCATCTCACTGGGTAGATAAGATTTAAAGTAAAAAGGAATGAATAAGGATTTGGAAATAGTTGTAATGGATAATCGTGATCATGTTTTCTTTCAAAACAGACTTATTCTCATAAAACTGCAAGAGAGGAGGATAAAAGAAGAAGCAGAAGGTAAATATTGGTCTTTGAAAGCAGAATTTTACGACTAGAGGAGAACTTAGCACTCATCTATTTCAATTTCCTCACTAAAGGCAGGAAGAATGTTTAATTACCCTAATGGTTTACCCTAATTTATGTATCAGCAGAATTAGCTCCCCAGCCCAAGCTGAGTTAGAACAGGACTGGCAGAGGTTCATCTGCTTTCACTAGTCCTTTAAGGAAAGAGGGTGGACGGGCAGGGGTTTTGGTTGTACCTGTTCCTGCTGGCCTGACGCCTGGTTCCTAGGCATCAGGCCAGACCAGAGGCCTTCTAGGAGGCTCTGGGGTCGGGAGGGCCACATGGTTGGGGATTTAGGGGCTGGCCTCACTCAAAGCTGACGAAAGGTAGAACGTGTGAGTCCCTTCTGTAAGGTGGCAAGAAAACTTCCCGTCTCATCCTACTGCTTTTCAGGCCCCTACTCTCTATTCCCTTTATCCAAACCTCATAGAATTTTAACCGGGAGAAACTTTAGACTGTAGTTTGTCTCATCCTTTTAGAATAAGGAACTGGAGAAAGAGAAAGGGAAAATATCTTGCCCCATGGTCATACTGCTAGTGATTATCAAAAAGAAGATGGTCCCTTTCCACTGAGGACTTCTCTGCTGATCCCACTGTGCTTGGGCTGTGAGCTACGTTTTATGTCACAATTCAGTAGACACATACTATATGGACAAAAGTAGTTTCTGAAACAAACTTATTGTGCACTCTGATTTTTCTTCTATTCTATTTGTATTCAAAAAGAGTATTTTGTGTTTCCCTGCTGGTCATGGCCTTTAAACTGATTCCACTTTTCACTGACCCCTCAGTGATACCCTGCAGTGTGAAAGTCAGAGAGCTATAGATAACTTTGCTTGTTGGGTTCACGTGTTTACTTGGTGTGATTCAACTTATAGGATAGAGCAGCCAGGAAAATAAAAGTACCTTCTCCCCACACCCACACCCCAGCAAATGCTGCATGTGCGACTAAGTCCGAAGCGGACTGGTGTGAAGCGCATCTAGAGAGTAACGTGTTTCTGCCCAGCGCCGTTGTGCAGTGTTTTCACCGCACGAGGGCACTTGGCCAAGGGCCAGGAAAGGTGACCGGGGCTGAAAATCCTGCCTATACTCCATGCTAAGCCACATGCAATGGTCTCCCCGGAGACACTGGGGGGCCATTTTGGACAGGCACAGAGAACTTCTGGAAGGCCAGCACGCATGGAATGATTTTCAAGATCCCGGGCCTGTGGTGATTTTGTTCATTGTGATTATGGACTGAGGTACCCGTTTAGTCCTAATAAGACCAGAGATAACACATTGTGAGAGAGGTGAAAAATGACATGTAACACTAACTGTGTGTGTTTTCCTCCAAGGGGCTTTTTTCGATTTCTGCTGTGTAAGAGAAGCTCAGGGGAAAGTGAGAGTCAGGTAAATTTGAGGAGGATAAAGAACTGTGGCCAGAGAAAGCAGGGGAGATGCAGAATTAATATTTCCCTTTCTGTGTTCTAGGAGGGCTTTTTCGGGAGAAGGCGGCCACTTTGGCTTAGGGATACGTATAGGCCCCTCAACGCCACACGCATGGAAAACATGGCACAAAAGCTACACGACAGGGAGTCTTCTGATGAGAATGAGATATTCTATAAGGATGCAGGGTAAATGATAGGGGACAGTATAAAATTCTCATCTAAAAGGAGGAAATAAGGAAAACTGTATTTGTTCCTTTCAAAAGTAAAAGCCTTGGCATTACTCTTCTTACCCCAGGGAAGTCATCAAAGCCCCCGCAGAGAAGCTTCTGGCTGCCTATTGGATCAATGCAGAGGCGGGTGACGAAAGTTAGACTGCACACGAGACTGCCACAGAGTGAGCCCTGTTCTGCCTCAAGCCATCTGCAAACGTTATTTTCTTCTTTCTTTTTTTTTTTATTACTTATTACATTGGCTTCTCAGCATTGCCTGTAAAAATACGTATTTTATGATATTAAAATGTATAACCAAGTCTAACCATGTGGTGAAGGAATTAAAATGTAAATAGTTGAATATTTATATACCAATAACAAGGGCCTGCAAGAAGAAGCAGGGCTGAAACTAGAATCCCTCATGTAGCCAGTACTTCCACAAGAGGAAATGGGGGCAAAGGAGGATGAGTAGAAGGACGAAGAGGGGCTTCCCTCCCTTGTTTCCCCAGTATCATCCATCCCTGGGAACTGGAAAACATACCATCCTCAAGGGGCATAGATCATTAAATCAAATAACAATTTATTCTGGTGCCCTCTCTCTCCTGGTTCATCAAGTACCAGTTATTTACAACATGCTCGACCTCCTGCCCATAGAGGATCATCTACTTCTGGCCCCTCACGTACGGTCATTGGGGATGCGAGAATATTTGGATCACTGGGCCTCCCTCCACTGTGGAGCCAAGGCCTGACTTTTCTCCCAAGTTCTCAAACTCAGGTACAAATGTGTACCCTGTCTTGGTAGGGGGTTCTCCACCATTTCAAGCTGGTGGAAAATTCCCATTTGGTTGTTTTTTTTCTTTAAAAAAAAATCCCAACCCTTGGATGACTAGCAGGGAGGTGCCAGAAAGACAGGGTAAAGAAGAATGTGTGAGAGCAGCCATTGCCCAAGACGGCCCTCCTCAGGCCCTGGCCTCTCCTGACCCCACTGCGGGTCAGCTGTGTGCTGCTCGGCTCCCTGCAGCTCAGCCCAGCACCAAACCTACCCATGTCCTGCCTCACCCAGCACAGGCCCCGGGCTGCACGATTCCAAATGATTCTATAATGACAGTGCCACCCGCAGAAGGTGCAAAGGCTCTTCCACTCCTGCAAAGAAAGTCATTAATCACATTTATTAAGTCAGTGAGAGTTAAATACAGTAATGAGTAAAAGAAATTCTGGATGAACACGATTTGATAATGTACCAAAATGACCACAGGTAGTGCTGGTGGTTTAGTAATATGAGGTGAAGAACGGTGCAAGCCACGGGGTGATAGCACACGGTCCCCCAGAGGATCAGTGGGCCTGGGAGACAGCACAGTAGGTTCTGCCGGTTGGGTGGGGTTCCAAGCAAAGTGAACGGCCCATCGGTTCTTCTGATTTATTAGTTTGCTGATGCTGCATGACAGACATCTGTTCTCTCAGTGCCTGCCCAAGTCACCTCCCAAAGTTTCTTACTGAGAATGAAAAACAAGTGTTTTTCTCTGGGCGGTGACTTGTTGAGGCAACAAGTATTTACTGTGTTTAAGGCGCATGACTAATACTAGTAATGATAGGAAGGAGCAGCAGCTAACATTTACCACTCGCTTGCTTGGTGCCAAGCCCTGGGTTAGGCATCTTATGGTCTAATTTAGGCCAACAGTCCGTGGAAGTATATCTTGTTATCCTCGTTTGACAGATAGGAAACAGGGTTTAAAGAATGTAGGTAACCTGCTCAAGGGCCCAAGACCCCACGTCCAAAAGTGTGAGTTAAGGTTGGAGCCCAGAACTGTTAGACTCCAACAGGGATGCAGAGAAGTATAAGCTGTGTTTGCCACCAAAGAGTTGATAACAATGATAATAATGAGGAGAAGGAGGCAACTGCTGTTTATTGAGCACCTGCTATGGACCGGGTACAGTACTAGGCACTTTGGTTACACTATTAGGTCACAAGAGCGGAAGGTCCCCCTGCCCGCTCAAACTCTGTAATGAGTGGGGGTCTGATTTCAATAAGAGAGGTGGTCACAAAGACAGGGAGCTGACGAGAAGCCAGGGGTAGAGATCCTTGTACTACTGCTGGGCTTCCCAAAGTGTGGACCAGCATTCCAGGTAGCTCCGGGTTCCTATTTTGGGAGATTTCCATTATTTCAAAGTTGGTACATAAATGAGGCTTAGATAATATTTTTGGTATCTTACTACCTCAGATTTGTACACTTTTTTATTAGTCTCAAATGCTACCCTACCGTATTTGTAAATTAAAATTCCCAAGAGTAAGATTCTGCATTGCCCAGCTTGACCTAGATTGGGCAGTGTTTTTGCCAGAGCCGGAGACTTCACCTGGCCAGCCTGTGAGTGAGCTGTCTCTCCTTGGATCAGGGACTCATCCCTGGCTATGGCCCAGAAGCAGGACGGGTGCCCAGGGTCACGTGGTACAAAACATGGCCGCCTGGGGCTGCCTCTGTCACCATCTTATGATGGACAAACTAGCTCAGAGCCCAAATCCTTACTGAGACCAGAGAGATAGAAGGAGAGAGGGAGATACAAGGCCAACAGCTACTAAATGAATGAAAATTCTGATTCTGATGAAATCTATCAGAGAAATGAGCCACTTTTTGAAAGATAATGAAATGAGACAATATATGATTAGGGCAAAAATGGTACAAAAATGTAGGATTCAGAGGAGGGAAGGTTAGGAAACTGGGGAGGGTCCATGAAAAATGTAGAACTTGTTCTGGGCCAGGATTATATACCAGACAATGTGCCTGGTGCTGGGGAAAGAGTTGGTTAGGACAAAGTCCCTGCTCTTGTGGAGCCCTAAGACTGAGAGGAGGCACAGACACCTGAAGACATATTATACATAGAAGACAGTGTGTTGACATGACAATGGCAGTGTACCAAGAAGTGGTTCAGCTCTTGGTTGGCTGGAAAGGAGTCAATGTGAGGGATGGCTTAGAGGAGGGGAAGAAGAAGAAAGCCAAAGAGGAGTTTCTTGGGAGGACGAGATGAAGGAAAGGCATTCTAGACGGAGGACAGTACAGAGGCAAGAGGCAAGAAACCTTGGGTGGGCTTGAAGCGTGTGCAGTCTGGTGTTCCCAAGCATGAAGCACAAGGAGGAAAGGGCAGTAGGTGAGGCTGAGCGGGCAAGCAGAGAACCAATCCCAAAGGGCCTGGTCAAGGCACATGGCCTCGAGCGAACAGAGCACAAACTACAACGTTTTCAACAGAGAAGAGACATGACCAAGCTTGAGTTTTACAAAGAGTACTTTGATGGTGGCCTAAAAGTAGAGAGGCCGAGAGGTCAACTTGGGTGTTTAGACCAAGTAGGAACTGGGAGAAAATGGGGCACCAGACCAGAGGTTTTGATGCAACTGAAGAGCATGTACGGTGGATATACATGAGTGAGAACTGAAAGGACAAGAGCTTATGTTCAGAGAATGAAAGATTGTACTTTTAATGTACTGCGACCATTTCTGTCACCAAGCAGTTGCCACTCTTAGTAGTGTAGACGTTCCCTGCCTCACCATCCCTGTAACCGTGACGCACTCCTGGCTGTCTCCTCCTCTACGGGAACTCTACAGGTCATGGGACACACAATCCAGCTAAGTCTGATCTAATCCCCTTCTCTGAAAGCTTGGGGGATTGAGTGCACTCTGTTATTGTTCTGCTTATAAGTTCCCCCCGCCCCCGAACAATAAAACCCTACTGTATATTTGCACAGTAGGAGGTTGAGGAATTTCGTGCCCAGGAAAATCTGTGGGTTGTTGGCATAGCAAGTATTGTGGTAGAGGAAAAGGCTTGGGGTCCAGGACCAAAGTCCCCAACGGTTACGAGGGCATCATTCATTAATATGCCAGTTCGGGCTTCCCTGGTGGCGCAGTGGTTGAGAGTCCGTCTGCTGATGCAGTGGACACGGGTTTGTGCCCCCGTCTGGGAAGATCCCACGTGCTGCGGAGCGGCTGGGCCCGTGAGCCATGGCTGCTGAGCCTGGGCATCCAGAGCTTGTGCTCCCAAAAGGGGGAGACCCCACAAGAGAGAGGCCCCTATGTACCGAAAAAAAAAAAAAAAAAAAGTCAGTTCAATATATTGAGGGTCTCAAGTCTGTCTGGTTCAACCCCTGAATCAGACAGTGTATTGATTATCTGGTGGTATGTAACAGATCACACCAAAATAGTGGCTCAAAACAACAATAAACATTTATTGCTCACAATTTCTGAGTCAAGCCTTTAGGAATATCTTGGGCAATCTGGCTCTGGGTCTCTCATGAGGTCCTCAAGATATCGGCCAGGGCTGCAGTCATCTGATGGCTGGACTGAGACTGCAGGGTCCACTTCCAAGATGGTTCACTCCCTTACCTGGCTGCCAGGGTGGTGCTGGTTGTTAGAGGGAGGCCTCATTTCCTCTCTGCATGGGCCTGTCTCTCCACCTGCTACTTGATTGAATGTCCTCACTACATGATGGCTGGCTTCCTCCAGAGGGAGCTGTCCAGAAGAGAGACAGAGGTTATTCCTCTTATGGCCTGGCCTCAGAAGGCCCATAGCACCACTTCTGCCACATAGCATGGTTAGAAGTCAGTCACTCGTTCCAGCTCACATTCAAGAGGAGGGGATTTAGACTCCACCTTTTGAAGAAAGAAGAGTCAAAGAATTTGCGGACATATTTTAAAACTACCATAGACAAGAAAATAGAAAGCACTCTAGATATTTCAAGCAAAAAAAAAGCCAGAAAGAGAGAAAGATTATAACCAAACAGTTGGTGCTTATCATTGAGGGGGCTAACGGTGAAAGTTTGGGATGGGGGCATTGTAGCACTAGCCTTCAGGTTACTCCACCACAGCTGCTTTCCATAGACTCAAAACTGCTGCTGCCACTCAGAAGTCAGGAAACTTTGGGAAACCACTGATGAGGTCATTGCAGCCCCTAAGCCCCAAGGGTGGTGACTAGATGGGGAATATGGAGTCTGCTGCAGAGGAGGAAAGAATGATTTCCATCTGCTTTCCACCTTCCAAATTTCACACAAGTACATTTTATTGGCAGAACCCAATTGTCGAGG